AGTGCAAAATAAACGCTTCAAAGGGGTTGGAAGTCTTCAGTTGTTTACTGATTCTGTTTGAATTTGCTTCATCTCGGATAGCATGAAATCTAACACGTCGAAACTTTTGTGACAGGCGGAGTTATCTAATGGCTGGTTGCAGCAGTGTTATGGGAGATCATTTCGTAAAGTGTTGCGGTGGAGCGCATCTTTTCTGGACGATGAATAGCAACTCAGACTTTGAATCCTCAACTTTGTGGTCCACTGTGATAAACTACTTGGGCGTCCAACCTGTTTACCCACTTGTTGATCGTGTTACCTGTCCTTAGATCAGTATTTGCGTAAAGCAGTATTTTGGCAATACTTTTCATTAGTCTACACACGAAGCTTGGCAATTTGCTTGTAAATAGTTTGTTAACTTCCAAAAGAAAATCGTCAGTATGCGGTTGGGTTTCATATTTTCTATCTTTTTGGCTTCAGAGGTAAGTGCCTCCTTGCCTAGAGTCTTACTTCCGTCGTTACACCTAAAGTAGTATTAGATCATACGATTCTTAATTCTAAAAGGATTCCGGCCTTCAGATGTCGTCGTGTACTGCAGTTTGTTGACTTTCCTGTTTTCGACATACAACCACCAGAAACTAGGACATTTTTTAAACCTAAGTCATCATATCTGTTTTCTGCTGTATTGAATAGCCAGATCGTTTCGCGGTTATTGTGTCATTCGTTTAAATCCTGGATGGCCTTTGATCGCCCAGATTAGGTTTACTTGCATATCTGAACCGGAAGTGTGAAACAGTGTGTGGATTGGCAACCAGGGCCGAACCAGATTAGTCGTTATTTACATGACTGCTCACAACACATTAATTTTTACGTTATAAGGGTTGACATTTTGCTCCCATAGACCCGAAGATTCACAATCTTCCATATTTGTACATGCCTAAGGTCTGAGGTCGTAGTTATTGCTGTTTCTTTTCCGATTATTTTCAGCACTGAGTGATACATCTGGAGATCTGGGATGTTTCGGTTGCATTTTGCTGGGTCTGTCCTATCTTTTCATCATCATTACGTTCCCCTTCTCATTGTGCTTTACAACAAAAGTGAGTGCCAATCACACAGATATTATAATTCCATTCACCTTGATAATTCCGTTTCTGCTCTTTGAGCAGTTTCGACCTGCAGAAATCAGTTAACCAAGTAGCAGTATGTCTAATGGCCCAGACATTCAAAATATCTGTGTGTGTATGTTCAAAATGACTTGAAAACCCGTTTTCGAATATTCGTCTTCAGTCTGGAGTGATTGTTCGCTGTCGTATCATGTAGAAAATTTTTAACAAGATCTGGCTCTTATATACTTTGTTTCCCAAATGAAAAGCTGGTGGGTTTTATCGGGAAAGTCCTTTTGCCAAAATGTTCTGTCACATTTCATGTGACCAACGCAGTTGTGAAATAAACCCGCCCTCAAAAATGTATGCATAAACGTCCATACGGTTACCAATCATAAAAAGGTGTATAATTCGATGCGCTCTCTTCCAGGCCAAAGTTACTGCAGCTAAAGCTACACAAGTCACTTTACCAAGCAGACTGAATTTGCTTTTTGTTAATATAATAAATGTATTCAGGTAAATGCAATTTTCTGCCAAAACTATCCTGAAATGGAAGCAAAAATTGATTCTCACGGCAATCTCAATTTGTATAATGGGGACAGAGGACAAGACCAGACATTCTGACTGATTTGGTAGTCAAGAACTACCAGAGACTACTTTCTCTGCTTCGGGTAACCGTAGTCAGGCATCATTGCATCCATTGGGACTACAGCTGACAAAGGTTTGGAATCATTCCTAGTTTGTGACTCTGGTTAACATACACTAACTGTAAGAATCTTATATTCATCCAAATGAATATCGTATATTGACGCCACCACCTGATGGAAACTTCCTGGAAGTATTTTCTGAATGACAACAAACATCAACAACATTTGTGAAACTCTTTCTCTTTGGTTGTCAGTTTCAGTGAAAACCCAGTTGCTATGACAACTGTGTATAGGCAGGTTGACGGGTGACAGTTTCGCATGCTTCGTGGTGAAGGGAGAGACGTCAACGAAAAACAGATCGATGTCATACTTCTCCATTGAATGTTTCACCCCGTTTCCACCGCAACTCGCTCTTCAAGAGCTGAATAACGCTGGGACATGCGTGGTTCTCGAAAATAATGATCAAAGTGAGGGACATACAGTTACCTGAAGAATGCCTGATGTACGATCCGTCCGCATGCGTTATATCTTTGAAACTGAAGAGCAGTGTAGAAACTAGGGCAACAATAGATTGTGTTAATTTATTGGTCGACACTCCGGTGCCAGACTATTAGGAAACCGTCCAGAAATCAGCTGATAATTTTCTAAATTTTGTATGGGACATGCATAGTTGGTGTGCACATGAATCCATATGATCGTTCCTCATCCCTGAAGATGATGACAGTTTCTTCTATCAAAGTAAGGCAGATCTCCGACGAAATCGCGGTTTCCTCCAAATAGCCCCAAAACTTTGTCAAATTTAAAGAAATACTTTCGAAGTTTGTGGAAAAAGAACTAATTTAAGTGTTTGACTAATTCATTTACTTCTACCAAATCACTCAGAAAGGATTACAGGACGGATTCCATTCATAAAAACACTGTTGGTATAAGACGTGAAAATGCAGCATACGACGCATAATACCGTGCCTCCTGTAACCCACTACATGTCTCAAAATGTCGCCGTCTGTCTGTAATGCCCTCAGGGAGCAGTGTAAGTTATCTGAAGAAAGACATATTGTGTCCCTTTCGGTTCAGAAAGGATGCAAATAGAATGGGAACACTATTCACTCATGCTGTATGCTCTTCACTGAGCTAACACCGCAATTGTTCAAGCACAAAACAACTCTGTTCAAACTTTTTCGAGGTAGCTTTCATTTGCAATTTTCAAACATAACAACACCTTTTGGTAATCAGTTGTAGAATGCAACATAACTCGAGCGGCTAGCGACAGTTATGTTGTTGGTAGTGTGAGGATATTTGGGAAAATCCGATAAATGTTGCTGTACGTGAAGTTAATCTATGTTGAACACCCGAGAAACACCATATACCCGTTTCATCCTTATTCGGGACCGTCAGCGGCGCGCATTTCACGAAAATTCAGGGGATCTCAATCCCTCAAAATCCCTCCTAATAGCTTGAAGATCGGACCCGGTGATTGAGGAATGAGTGGCAACATGTTTCGTTGGGGTGCAAGTTAATCACACTGCTAATCAGGTTCTCATGGTTGAATGGTTAGGCCCTCGTATGGCACACACATTTGATGGTTCCCAGTACGAATGAGAGGTTACAGAGACTTCCAGCTTTGTAGCGCAAATTGGTTTCACTTACATGACGAAATTCTTATTGAATATTAGACACTTTGTTATCATATCCTCAGGACATCTGAGAGGATGACTGCTGGAATTGTTATCCCAATGAATCGTTATTAGAACGACTGGTAGACAGGTATCATCTACTGACACAGAGCATTCTCGGACATCAATTACGGTCCACAAATAGAGTTCTTCCAGAGTACACAAAGTTCAGGTGACATAAAGAAAAAAGTGAAGCAAACAACTTTATATGGAGTTGGAGCAAACTTTGATCAGTAAATGTGTAAAGGAATCCGCTGAATTACTACCGCAAAAGCCGGTTCATTGGCATTTAGCTGAACAATCGTCCTTCTAGCGCAATAATCCAGGTGAGTTCTGACTAGAAAGATGAACCACTGGACTTGAGCTTTGTTATTATTGGAGCTCATCAGCAATGCATATCCTTGGACGCTCCGACGTTTGGACTCTGAACATCTGACTCACCAGGCACCGTTGTTACAACTACTCCACCAAGGCATGCTTGACACAATTGAATTTTCACGTCTGAACATGCGTGCGTGTTTGCGCTTTGGAGACATGACTGCGTATGTGGGAACAATAGAGCAGCAGGCTTGGCAATCCGTGTTGTGAGCACCACGTCTGGTTTTCATATTCGCATTCGTCTAATTAGGAAAAAAGTACTGTCCAAAGCAACGGCGACTGGAGCACCTGCCAATTTCACCCAAAATACCGTAAAATTCCGCCTTACAGTTTGGAGCTACATCGACTTATTCGTACTCAGCGAGCGCGCGGCAATAAAATTTGTATGGTTTGTTCGCCGCCTTTGCTGCATTTATCGTTAAGACCAAATCGCTCTGAATACGTCGTTTCGAAATGCAGCTAAGAAAAAATCTAAAGGATTTGCAGTCCTCAGACGGAGTTAAGAAGGAATGCACGTAAAAACGGCTGTCCTTGAGTTGTCCGAAAATTTTATTCACATTTGATGACCTACACTTTTGCAGCAGAAACAAGCTTACTGTCGAAAACCGCCTGATGGGGAAATGGTCCCAGGGTTTTTACATGTCATTCAGTGTATTGTGCCTCAAGCGACAACCAATTTCAATGCAAAATTTCCCCCGATAGAACATGAAAAAAACTTATTCAAATAACGAGGTGTGCCGAATCCCAACTGTCCTAGATAAGTTATCAGTTGTGCAAGTTCTTCAAATACTGCATCGGCACAGAGATCCCGCTTTGCACTAACGTTGTTGTGCTGGTGTACTAGTTATCCACGACTTTTGCATTTGGTAAGATAATTTCTTCAATTTCCCGTAGATAGCACCTTGTACTCTCAGGGCTTAGCATCTAAGCGCAAGCCCAGACCGCCATTTTTAAAATACTTGTTGAAGTTCTACTTATATGTTTAGACTTCGCTATTTAACTTCGGTAAAATTGTATGAAATCTTGTAACTTCTGTCAGTCAATAGAATAACTTTGAGAGGTGTGAAAAAAAACAGGGAAGCTTTAGCTTTCGGCACCCAGCCGTATTTCTGAACGTGAGTTGCCAAGTAACAATCTAAAATAAGAACTGCTTGTACCCCGTTGTGCCTACGGATTTTTGGAATGTACAGAGCTGAAGCTAACATACTACACATTTCCAGGTGATTGCCGAATATGAGCGAGCCGTAATCTTCCGATTGGGACGCATACTTCCCGGAGGGGCTCGGGGCCCTGGTCTGTTTTTCATTGTTCCCTGCATGGATCGAGTTCGCAAAGTTGATCTCCGTACCGTGACCTTTGACGTACCGCCACAAGAGGTAAGTGAAGCTGTGATTAGCGACATTCCGCAAAGTTGTCCACTGCTAATTTGCTCAGTTTATTTAACGTTTTATCGGTTTCATTGGGGACAAACCGTGCACTTGAATAGCACTGGCGGTACACCAGCTAACACTTATTATCAAGCCAATCACATCTATAATCCACACGCCCTGAAGTGTTGAATTTGGCACTTGGCTGCGGAGTCTGAACCACAAACTCTTGGATCATAGGTCAAATCCGTACGAAGGGTCCAAAGCTTGCGCTGCTAAACAAGCTGTTTGAAAAAACATAGTGGAAAAAACTCATGACATTCCAGCAACACAGAGACAAAGCGAATGACAACGCTTCTCCCAGGTCGTGTTTCCATGCTATTTGTGGGTGAACGCGCTTTTTAAGTATGCCACGTTTTTGCTTCCCACCCTGCGAAGGCCAACAAACACATTTACACTTGAATACCTACTTCCCATTTTGAATCTAAATGCTTAGGACAAAAACCACTGAAGTCAAACTCTTACTTGTGTTTTCAGATAAACACTCATTAAGTTTACTATGCCGCCAAAAATCTCAACTAAATCTCTATTTAGAAAGACGACGTGAATGTATGCGCTGCGGCGGCCTAACGTTACAAATAGAACGCCATAAAGCATGTTGAAAAGGTTTGATCACTCGTAAAACGTAGTGTATTTGACATGAACTTATGCTTGTATTATGGATAGTGGTAACTCTTTTCGTTTTAGATGAAGCCATTTCAAAATGAAGATTTAGTTCTTACCGTTTCATACTTTAAGCAGGTTTCTATTAGATATTTCAGAATGCATGCAATTTAGCGTAGGGTTGGCACCAAACCTGATCATATGGGGATGAATTTTCTTAAAAGCTCCAATACACATGCAAGAAGTATGAGGCTACCTTACCCGGTCAGTATTCAGGTGGTTACTTGTTCGCTAGCTAACCAAAACATCAATCGATGCTAAGATAGCACAGTAGAATTTGAAGGAGTTACACGGCTCATATGAGTTGTTTCGATCTACTCTGATCTCCAAAATGAGGTCAAGCACAAATTACCCATGTTTCACGTACACGTTCTCAGTTATTTCTTCTAGAGTTGCGAAGTGCGTCTAGCTTTGAAATTTACATGCAAATTACAATATGTGTTTAGCTTGGATAACTACTTCGCTTCTGTGTAAACCTATTCTCGCGTTGTGCAGGCTGGGTGACATTCAAATAATCTTAATAATAGTGATAATATCAGTACCGATATTTAACGTGTCAAACCTTCTACCCACAATTTTGTTTGCTTAAACTGCGTAAACAAAGGCCAGTTACAGTGGGCAACTAACACAGATATTAGCTAGACTCAAAAACTGTATGAAAAGCACTTTGGGACTGCAGGTACTTGTGTTGTATTAATGTAAGATCAGTTCTTTAGATTGACAGTCATTTTTGGAAAAATGTTTCCGGTCTTATCGTTTACCGCAATACAAATAGTATCGTACTCAAGCCACCAGGTGTTGTGCTCCGCAGATGCATTTTTCCGTAAGAGCCTGTGACATTAAAACAAATGAGTTGCACAATTCTTTGTAGACAGCACAATTGGAAAAGTCTGCTAGTTTGACTGGCAAATGGGAAGACTTCTCAAGGTAGGCGTGGCTCTTTGCTGAAATCTACTGCAAAGTTTGGATTTTGAGAAGCTAAACTCTGTCTTCGGCTATGAAAATTTTTGTGTGTGCGATGACAGCGATGTGTATTCCGGTTGCACTTCTCACTAGGTGCCTAAACCTAAAGTCTGCCAATTGACGGAATCCTGAGTACTTATACGAGTGTCATTCATGCGCTCCATACAGTCAGTCGCAATGCACCCAATAGGGCTAGATCTCATCCAAGTGCTTCCAAATAAAATCTGTCGCCATATTTTGGTTACGTTTGTCGTTTTGTAAAATGTTTTATTTGTTACATATTGAAATTCAGCATTGATATCAATCTAACCTGCAAATGAGTGATTTACATAACGGGCTACATTCCGTTCCATACTAACCAAAAGCTTTACAGACCAAATTTCCTACGAACTCAGGTATTTGCACATTAATCAACCCCCGTCTACGCGCTTATTGACAGCTGATCGCAATTCACTTTAGTGCACGGAATTAAAAAGTGGTGTGGCATATCTTAAACGCAATTCCTGTGAATGGTAGCCTGGTAGCCAGCTAACGGTAGTGGCGGCTTTCACTTGATATCTGAACATTTTAACAAAATTTACAACATAAATAGCAAATAAATTGCAATAGACCATAGATGTTGGCTTGAGGACCTCCTAGAATTTAGCTTCGATAAGTGGTTTTAGGCTGCGGAATACCGGTCTACGCTTCCAAAAACTGGCTTCAATTGGGTGTGTGACTCCATTTTTACTTAGTGTTATCATGTTCCGAAGATTGCGCCACATATTTTATCCGACGTTTCACAGATCCTCTAGCGGGAATCATTATTTACCAAGCCACCGAGTTAGTAATTTTCATGATATGCAGCTGACTAGTAACAGCTGACTTCAAAACCTGGAGTTCAGCTCGATTTGGGTGCATTTGCTGGATGTAGGCGTATATGAAAAGCACATAATGCAGTGTTCACACGTTTTGACTAAACGCTCCTCACCTCAACGCAACTATAACGCTTTGACTAAATATCGAGATTAGTAGTCATTGATAGCAGTCTTTTGCATAAAAAACCGCATGCCCCCTACCACACAACTGTCTCCAACATCGGTCACTTGGTGATTGGCTAATTTAGAACAGCTACGACAGTGACCCGATTGCCTACCTTTTCCCTAAAAACAAATTTGGTTCAGTCCCAAGTGCAGCGACATAAATCTTGAAAAATTATGAAGCAAACAAGTAGGTTGAATCGGCCAAACCAATAGCCTCAGTTTTGTTTCGGATTTGTTATGTGTCAACACAAAGGAAAAGGTTGTGTCGCAGTCACTGCATTGTAACACCAAGCAGAAAATCCGGGCGTTCACAAGCCACGAAATTTAGTGATCTGAGACAAACGAGTGCGTAATCAATAGGGCAGACAACGACACGGTTAGGCGTAACGTTGATTGGACATGCACTGATAAGGACGATCCGGAGAATGTATGTGCGGATATTCGCGCTTCCTAATGCGACAGACTGAACGGTGTCGGAAAGGTAGGTGTCAGACACCATGTTGCTTCAATCCCACGATTAGACACCCGAATTTAGGTCAACGGATAACGCCTCTGTTTGAGAATAACTGCGACACAGATTTTACTCAAAACTGTATCATCTTTTAATGAGTTACTTAATATTCGGGCATTCGCCAGCGACATACCGAGTCCCCATACCTGTTTAGTTGTTCACGGAAAATAAGTTCACCCGGAAATTACGTGGAGCCGGTGGGTGGACCCACGGCCCAGATATCGCTCAGTTGGCTCCTAAGACCGGGACAATAAAAGTTAAACGGCAGATTTCCCCGGTGCATAACAAAGATAGAGGCAGCTGAGTAATCAAGGGAAGCCATTCCAACGACACGACTGATGGTTGGTATCGATCGACGAGTCGTACCTGCATTATGCACTAGCACTACTTCCTAGCACTGGCACAAGTTAAATATTACGTACTTTGTGTGAGTTGAGTTGCCTAATATGGTTGCTATAGTGTGCACTTTTACGTGTTCCTTTCTCCTATAACCTAAGGCAGCCCTACACTAAACGAACAAATTGAGGAAAAGAAAATACACACAACTTGACCCTCATTGGTTATCAGCCAACATTCAATAAATTAATAAAACGTTACTCCAACCAAAGAAACGAGAACCTTATTGTAGATACAGTATCTCCTCAGACTCACAGGAGGAGTGGGATTTGAGCCTCAAGGTCACCCTGGTCGAAATATATGACTGCTATTTACCACAAAGATATTCTTTAACGGTGAGCTTATTGTGAGCATGATATGCTGTCCAAAGCTGTGAATTAGGAGAAACTACTGTTGTACAGAGTAAACAGTATAAGGAATCTGTGTGAAGTATCTCAAGGTTCTAGGAGCATCATTTGTTTTGGATAAATATTATTTAGCTACGTAAAGTTGCATAAAAATGTGTTGCAGCGAAGCCAATTTGTCAAAATTATATTTTTCTAACTTCTGTGATCTTAGAATCCACCAAAACGTTCCGATTTGTCTAGAACAGCATAGTTAAGACAATTAAAGTTGAACAAGTCAGCTTGATAGATTTTTATTTGCTGAGTAGTCAGAATTACCTGTATTTTGATCCTTGAATCATTAAAAAAAGTAGCTTAAGTAAAAGTGAAATTTGAGCGTTAGTTCCACACAAGCTTTGTAGAGGCTCCATTAGGGTAGATAATTAAATTCTGAATGATACTAATGTATCGTGCAGCTAATTTCATGTACCATAAACTAAAATGTCTGCTGCATGAAAGCACCGCTTTCCACATATCTGTACGCTGTGTTTTCTCTTTCTCTTACGGACTAGGAATGCAATTTTTAATCATGAATGCGGTGAGATAGGTTACCTTAAGATTGTTCGCCTGATGCCACTGTGGGGACATTGACCAGAATGTGGGTCACTGTAACAGCACATCTGTCACACTTCTGTTTGTTTCTAAAATACTGTGGGATACACTGTTCACAAGTGTACAAAAGCCTTTACGATTCACACACACACAAATGGATTACATATTTTTACCGGTGTTCGATTATCTGTGTTTGGATTTCTTTAACTAACCAGATCCTGCATTTTTGCTTTCTTGTGATTTTGTTACTTTGGACAGCTTATAATTCTTGCTTACGGGAACTGAAATGTATGGAGTATGTTCAGCACTTTTCAACTAGTCATTTCAACAATTAGTCATTTCAACAGTTAGATGAGAAATCAACCCGTTCTAAAAAATAATAGAGTAGGCGTAAAAGCTACGTTATCTTATGCCGTTTGTGGGTATCCAAACTGTGTCTAGAAATAGCTAACAGGAACT